CTGCAACAGCTCCTCAGCCAGGCATTGGTCCAGATCAGTATTACGCTCCACGGTCTTCCCCAGGATCACCTGCTCAAACTTGGGCAGGAAGGTGGCATCCATAGACTTCTTGGTGACAACAACTGTGCCAGGCTCAAGCCCTGAACACCAAAAATGTGAACGGAGATAAGCTATACATTTATAATCAGAAAGTACAAAAAGCTGCAACAAAGAAGTGAGTTTAATATATGTATGAAACACGGACTGACACATTCTATATTAAGTCAAATAAGCATCATTGTTCACGTTCATTAAAAAATGAAACAAATCCGAAGACATTTTTAAAGCTTGATTTCAAGTAATATACTGCATGTCTTTAGGTCAATGGCAGTCTGCAAGACAGCGAGACACAGCGAAACTCAGCCCGAAACATACACACACCCGCAGCCTGGCTGGGAGTTTGTGTGTGTGCTCAGGCTGAGTTCCGCGGTGTCTTGCTGTCTCGCCGACCCCACACCAGTGAGCCAGCTCACAGTGTCCGCTCCTTGCAGCAGCGAGCCTCGCAACGTCCCGCGGAGTGTGTGTGTGTGTGAGGAAGTCCGCGGATTGGTCCAAACGTAACGACTCCGCGGACGTAACGTAACGGCTCCGCGGACGTAATGTAACGGCTCCGCCTGATTGGTCCATTTTGCCGTTATGTCACTATACCCAAATACGTCACTGTACCCAGGACGAAAAAGATAAATCCCCAACGAGGCGTTCTGGGGCAGCATAGACAGGTCTTTTCTGTGTTAGAGTTTTACTCGCTACAGGGTGTACTTTGAGGGTTTGTGACTCTGCAGACCGTGTACATGCATAAAAAGCTACATAACACACAAGGGGACGGGTAATAACCAGAAAAGCATGACATGGGACCTTTAATTATATATGTGGACTTCAAATATAAGCCACATGATCAAATCCAATGGTTCGTGACACAAACAAATAAAGAAAAGGAACATTTCAGACTAAATATGAATAACTCACTTTAAAAAATAAAGACAGAAATTCCAGTTATCTAAAAACTGGAGAAATACCATCAGGCCTGATAGCAACCGATCTAAAATCGAAGAGACTTTGGCTCCCTCTCGTGGTAAAACCAAATAAACATGTCTTTGTGGACAATAACGGCTACCTCAATGTCATCAACTATATCACCAAAGTAACCCATATTAGGGCAAATACATTTGACCACACACAGAATCTTAGTCAAGTAATTTCTTCATTAAATTAATGTACAGATTGACTGGAAAACTTGCATCACTTTTATGATCGTAACAATGATATTCATTCATTGATTACCAGAGCTATTTTCAGGCATTCAGGTAACAGAAAATATATTTCTAATAATTTGCTTACCTATTCCTCCCGATGTTCCAATACGTACAATTGTAACATCTTCACAATGAGCGTGATGGAGGAGCTTTATTAGCTCATGCAACATTATGGCAATAGATGGAATGCCCATCCCATGCTGCAAAATAAAGCACAGACAAGTCAAACACAATTTTTCAAATATATGTAGTTGAAATTAGAATATCAAAGTACTTTATAGTCCATACTATGTACATTGCTTATTAAGAATACTACTATTTCAAAGTAATCGTAGGTCTTACATACACTGACAGACAGCACAGGGCCAACTTTGTACATAGCATAGCGGTCCGTTCCAGCACAGATGTTTGGGTACTCTGACTCGGGGTCTTCCATACGGATCTCAGCAGCAATATACTCAGTGAATGATTTCATTCTCCATGGACTGCCTCCGACACACACAAACTGAAAGATAGCAAACACAAAAAACACACATTTTAGCACAATGAAGACAATTACAGAGGTCATTTTTTAAACAAATGAATGTAATAAGAATCTTTACTTTGACATCACCAAACATGGCAGGTAGGTTGTGAGTTGCTGTCCCCAACCCGAAGTGGTAGAGGACGTCATCTTTCATTACATCCAGGTGTGGGTTGTGAACAAAAACAGGGCTTAAAGGGGGAATAAAATAATTGAAAAGGGTCTGATTATAAGAATGATTGCAATTAGGTTTCACTTCCTTTAATAACTGGGAAAACAATTCTGTGATTTGGGCTTCTCCAAGGAAGGTCACTTCAATCAAGACTTATTTTCCTACTTAAACCTTTATTATCTAGCCAGATGTAACATTGTATATTGATAAAAATATATAAAAAGTACCCATGACCATTAATATATAACATCTAAAAAACATGTGATGTAAACAATGTAAATATTACCAATAAATATGTTAAATGTGTGAATAAGAACACATGTACATCATGTAAACACTCCAATTTTAAAAGTATTCAGGATGTCAAAAATGGTGTCCAATATAATATAACAGAGGAGAGTGTATGTAAGTGTGGAGGAAACTTCTGTGTAGCAATGCATGGAGTCACCGACTCAGGAAGGAGACACGGTGAGAGTTGGAGCTTTGATGTCAAACACTGATGGGTTTATTCAGAGTATTCGGCCGGAGGATTCACATCACAAATCAAAGAGTCAGAGGTTCTGACTACACGGTAGAGTTGCCACGTCAATTCTGAAGAGCCTCTCTCTATGCTAGACCTTTTAACTGGTTCACAGAGAGTAATCAACATCTCTGAAGGAGTAGACTAAACAGCTGGGAACACTGAACCACCTGCGTCCGACACTCATGGCCTCGAAGATTTCACATCTTAGAGTCCACAAACACCGATAAAGAAGTGCCTCAGTGTTCTCACAACAATTACCATTCGTGCCAGACAAGTTGACCGGTCACAAACTGGTGACAACAACACATATGGCACCAATGCCTTTCCTTAAAGGAGATAACAGAGGTCAGAGTAGATCATAAAACGTCACAGAGCAAAAGGTTAGATATCTAGAAGAATTATTCCCTAACAGTAAGTATGACTGATTTTAGGTTGTGCACTATTATCAAATTAGACATTTCAATGCTTTGAATAGAACATACAAAAATGTTTCTATATTTTGTCAGGGCTGCCACATTTCAAATCACAAGTGAGCAAAATCTCACTACGAAAAAAGGATATTCACATACTATACATACACTGAGATGCCAATAAGTATTATAAAGTACACTTAGATAAAACTACTGCACTCCTGCAATACATCCTTTCTCCCTGTGGGTTATTTTGAAACCCTGGTGCTGTTGAACTGTATTATATTCTACACAGAATGGAATACATTCATTTAAGCAAGGTGAACCTAACACAAGAATGTAATAAGGGAACAAATGATAATTAGGTGAAATTACCCTTTAAGGAGAATTTACGCTTTTTTCATTGTAAACAAGGTAGCCTATGAATGGAGTACATTTAAATGATGTTGTAAAATAACTTATCCAGTACCAACATCGTATGTGCTTGATAGTATACTAATAGGGTGGCGTTATAGGACAATTAAATAACATCCTGTCAACCTATTTTCACCATTCAAAATAAACTTTGGTTCCATAGAGTAAATATATAGTGTTTCAACACATAACCTTTAAAACAATACTTTGACCTACAGTAGGGGTTAACTTGTGAAACTGCTCACCTGCTGCATGGCGTGGCCCGTTTCTCTTCCTCTGGGTTCATCTTCCTGGAAAAGCCGAAAAAATGAAGCGATGTCCCAACAAAACTATTCAGTAACCGAGAACAAACCCAACCTCTAACAACACTGATCGTTACAATTACACACGGTATTATCTTACATGAGGTGAGGAGTCACACTAACTTTAAAAACAATTAAGACATATTTTTGAAATTATGAACAACCCGGCGTAGATTCAATGCAGCGCACAGTACTTGATCTCAGCGGGGGGATAGAGACAGCCACATCATATGGGTCCATCTTTACCCTTGATATAAGCCAATAGAACAAACAAAGCTACAATATAAACACCAGATAGAAATGTACCTTTAGTATGTTGCTGTTCGACTGCCGATTCCTCTTTCCCTGACAGTTAATTTCGCTTTCTGTACTGACGTCGACACCACGAGCATCCTGCCCACAATCAATGACGTGACGTCCATCACGTCCCGAGCGTCGTCACGACCCCACCGACCGGATGTTGACTACTGTTCACATGGGTCTGCCTCAGAGGGCATGGCCCACCACAGGAATTTGTATACAAAATAACATTAAAAAAAGTACACATCAACATTTTACACATTATCCAAACTCTAATTTTGTACAGAACACATTTATTTTACCATTGTTTCCATTCAGGTAACCTTTGGACATTAATAAAAGAGTAAATGTCAGTTCTTGTTTCTCGTTGCCATTACATTGAGTACTAACCTTTATATATACAGTCTATGGTACTAACATGCAATTAATTTTTTATTCAAATGCTCAATGTTAAAGTTGAAAAATAAAAACCTGACATTCCATTGTTGCAAAAACGATTCCTTAGAAGATTTGAGGACCAGAAATCCAACAATAATCATCTAAAAGACCCGTAAAAATACATAAAACTGAAGAGTTTACTCGACAGTTGTGTGGTGTTTGTTTGTAGAACAAAACATTATACATGACAGTTATTTGAAAGATTCATATATATTTTTTGTTTTATCATGCCGCACATCATGCACTTTATTCTGAGATAGGAGTTTTTTTTAATGTATGATTATATATTTTTAAAATGTCTAATGGTAGTTTTTATCTTATATGTTTGTTTGTATGTATAGTTTCTAAATATTTAGGTGTGGAGAGCTGAGCGTAAGAATTTCATTAGACAGTGCAACTGCCCGTAATACTGTACATATGAAAAGAATATCATATATATATATATATATATATATATATATATATATATATATATATATATATATATATATATATATATATATATATATATATATATATATATATATATCTATATATATATATATATATATATATATATATATATATATATATATCCAGCTTTACATTTAATTACATGCAAAAAGAAATGCCATCACACAAAACGGTTTCGCCAAACAATATTTTATTCAGCGGTCTAGTAGCCATTCATATATTTTTAAAACATTTTTACAAAATGTAAATACTTCACTCTAGTCAAAATCTCACGGTAAATACGATGAAGTACTTATACTTAGGCAAATAAAGTGGCATTTAGTCATATATCTTGGTACAATTTCACTTCAAACTGTCTCATTCCAAAAAGAACAAACATGTAATAGATAAGAAATGTTAAATTAAATTCACCCAGAACAATAAGAAAAAAGAAAAATAACAGTTTTTGGGTTTTCAACCCCTGTGCAAATGTGTTAAGGTGAGTGAAGCCTTTCTGCCACCCTAGAAACAAAAAAGAATATTGAAAAATTATTTGTAATACTATAATGTTTAAACTTGTCTCATTTGCTGGAATTTCAAAACAATATACTTCCGACTTACATGTCTTAATTTCCTCCATTCCACCTCATTTCATGATGCGTTAGGGGCCCAAAATCTCTCTGTTAAGATATACAAACATTATTCAATCCAAACAGCACATTTCATATCTAAAGAGGGTACCGCCATGAATTGAATATGGACACCAAACTTACAGCTTCCATTAGGACTATGGGATGCTCTGGCAAGAATGGCGGCTTCTTCTTGGCTTCAGGACAACTTGAAAGACCAAGTAGAACATCTCTGCTGTAAGATATTCTAGCTACTAAAAAAAAGAAGACCAAATGAGATCAAATCAGGCAAATAAAAAGACAGACAAAAGCAGGTTGTTATTTGTTTTGCATTTTGCCAAACCACTACTGTAAATTACCTCCCTCCCCTGGTTAGCCTCCAGCTTCCAAATGAACAGACATGCATATTAAACATTGCTATTGTGTATATTAACCTGCTTTTCAATAGTCATGAAAACATTGTTTGTAGCCTTTATTTAACCAGGTGAAAAATCCCATGGAGATCAACGATCTCTTTCAAGGGAGACCTGCAGTACATTGGTTACACATAAAAACAACAGAAAACAAAAAGGACATCATACAACATAATTACAGGGGTATAAATTAGCAACCTATTCACAATGACAGGTATCTAATAACATTTCATCCAGCCGCGCTTTAAAATGATGCAAGGGAACCAAAATGCTCAGTTTCAATTTGTTTTGCATAGTGTTCCAAGCTAGAGGAGCAGCGCACATAAAAGCTTTAGTACCTAAAACAGTCCTAGCACTTGGCACATGTATAACTGACTCAAGACCATGGTGTTCCTTACCTTCTTTCTTTTTGTGGAGGTTAACAATCTTGCAGAACTGCTCAATTCCAATAGGAGTCTATCAAGCACAACATTAGAAGAACATTAAAATAGTTTTAAAAACAGTCTATGTTGTCGTAATCCACTTCTTAACAGACGTTACATTTATTAAATTGATTTTAATGAGGAGAAAAATGCTAATATTGAAGTGCTGAAATTCTTATCGATTGAAAGAAAACAAAAATTGGAAAGAATTTGATTATCCATGATCGTGGAAGTCATTTTAAAGCAAAAACACAGCTACTGTGTGGCTTCAAAGTCTCAAATGTCATTTGCTGCTTTTTTAAAAACAATTTTTAGATGATTCATGGAAAAAAAGTAAACAGAATGATCCATAATTGTAATTTGCTATCCTCAGATATTTTGTTCTTTGGGGTTTCTTACCTCATGCTCCTCCTCAGCCCTCAGTGCCTGTGCACACGTAGCAGCATTTATGTTGGGCTCTAAATGAAGTGATACAATTCTCAAATGAGCATGCCATTAATATGAATAATCTTACATTTCAAACATTTGATATATTCCTATAAGTTTGACCTACTACTGATGCAAACTACTTACCGGTGTCAGCAGGGACGCAGCGGCGCAGTGGTCTGGCTGGCTCCAGATGCTTCTGGAGGATTCTTCTCCTGGAAACCTCCATCCTGTTGTCACTGAGTTGTTACCAGAGGCAATTTTTCATTTTTGTCCACTTGCTAAAAAGCTAGTGATATTTCACCTTTTCCAGCCACTCAATGTTACCATTGTGTTTTTTTCTGGTGAAAAAAAAGCAAATCTAAAAGCCACCTTCATATTTTACCAGCTATTTTTGTTCAAGAGAATACAAATGAGTACTTTGTGAAGTGGGATAATGGGTCCTGATTGGATTAATTTCCTCTCTTTTACTTAAAAAGAGGCTGAGAAATGTAAAGGGGACCCACAGGTTGTTATTTGTGTAGTTTAGCTATATACATTTTCCAGATCAAAAGTGTCCTGCACATTTTGACAATATCATGAAGCTTATTCATATGAAGTTATTTAGACAAGAAAAAAATACTATGAAATAATCATTTGGCATTGACCAGGGATCTCGCAGATTGAGAGTAGCATAACAGCTAACTTTTACGAGAGCAATTCAACAGAAACAACTTTAATTGGCTTTACATTATTGTGTTAACTGTAAACTAACTTGATGTATATAAGTATCTTTGAACTAAAACTCGACCTAGAGTCTTCTTAAAACTCTTTCTAGGTTAATTTTGTTTGAGAGAAGCAGCTAAAAACAGGTGGGACCTTGTTACCCATCACTGTTTCATGGCAGACACCCCGTCTGCATGAGAACGACAGGCGGCTACCATTAGCGGGTTTGTTTAACATTTACGAATATCTGCTTATTTACCGGACGGGACTGTCTCCGATTCTACATGATCTCGCATTTTTACATCAACCTAACTAAATAAGACTTAAAATAAGTTCATTAAGTGATGACAAATGCAACATCTAAACAAGTCATACATTTAAACTCTGCAAAACCCTTACTCTAGATAGTATCATTGGCCGAACAATCGTACGGAAAAGTCAAAAGTTCTTGACATAGTCATTTTACTTTAAAGAGAATACATTTCGTGCTAAATTATTCACCTGGCTGCAGTTCAAAAAAGTTCCCTCGGCGTGGACGTTTTCCTGCTCACATCACAGGTGGCATGGTGGTCAAGAGAAAACCATGACTTCCGGTAAGGGATTTTCAAATTAAAATATGTTTTGTTTCAAAACCATGTCAATATCATCAGACAACATTGCATATGCGCGATCAGCAAGTGGCATATTATGCCACTTGCTGACCGCGCCCTGTAATTAATATTGCAAATTGTAATAAATATAAATAATTCTGTATGATTTTTTGAATTGCATGGTTATTCATCCTATTATCTCATGTTAAGTCTTGGAACAATTGATATTTATAAAAAGGCTGTAGTATATCTTACAGACAGCTTTTAAGTTATATATTTGAAGACCTTCAGTTAAAAGAAAAACTCTTATAAGGCCATATATGGGGCCTTGTGGGGCGTGTGGCGCAGTGGATAGAGCCTTGGTCTGGCGATCAGATGGTCACAGGCTCAAACCCCACTGCAGTCAGCATGTCGTTGTGTCCCTGGGCAAGACACTTCACCCTAAATTGCTCCTGTGGGGATTGCCCACAGTATTGAGTATGTAAGTCGCTTTGGATAAAAGCATCTAACAAGTAATGTAATGTATTTTAGATACGTTATCACAAAAGTTATAGACTATGGCACAGAAATAAAAGCCTCCACAATTTGTGTATGAGCAACTTATTTAAAAAAGAATATGCGTCAGTTGTACAGTTGTGATGTGTCTTCTAGCAGTGATTGATCTGTCAGGCTTCAAAAGTTGAGCAATGTTCAACTTTTGAAGCTGAGGTGGAAGCATCAGCCAATCAAATCCCGTTTATGCAAATCTGACAGTACAAGCGCTAGCCAATCAAACCGCGTGTATGCTGGGAGTGACATACCGCAGGTCATTTCCTCATATTCCAAAAAATGGAGGAGAAATTAATTATAGCGGTAGGGAATCACCCGGTGCTTTATGACCAGTCCCTATTTACCTACCGGGATACAAACCGGAGGAGCCTGGCATGGAGGGAGGTGGCAGAGACAGTGGTAGGTTTTCGCCTGTTTGGGGAGTTTATATCCAGTTTACTTCGGGATTTTTTGCTTTGTATGTCGGGGGCGGGAGATTCATGTGATTGGTTGTTGGTTGCAAAAAATCCCCAAGCTTCAGATACGCCCACCTCCAAGCTTTTTTTAACGCTGCTGTGTGGTCGTACCACAATGCAGTTCGGCGAAAAGTGAGGCAAAGTGATGTCACCCCATTCAAAGTGAATGGGCAGAAGCGTTGGAAGATTTTAACGCTGCTGTGTGGACGGGCCGTCAGAGTGGGTGAGCAGAGCAGCTGTCTTGCTCTTTAACTCATTTGTGAGAGCGAGTGCCAAATGACTGGAGTAACGCATCACTAGGAAGTGAGATACAAAAACACACCTATTACTGCTTATAGGTGCCACCAAAGACAACAAAACAGATTTTCCCATTTATCCTAAATTTTAAAGCTATCAGTAAGGTATTCATTTTAAAATGGAGATTAAACGGCTCTTTAAACACATAAGGCCTATTTGGCAAGCATAAGTCATTTAACTTTAAATATAAGATCTGTGAAGAAAAACAGACATTTCAAAAAGGTATGCGTTTTAATGATAACACTTTTATCAACAACTACATAGCAAAATTAAATTTACAAACATTGTCAAACACTGTGTTGTAAGTTACATTTAACAAACACATTCGAAGGAAAAACAAAAATTGAGTGTTTAACTTTAAGATGAACATTTCATACAAAAACCTTAAGTAGTCAATAGACTACATTGCCTCGTCACAATAGAGTGGTGCAGTGACGAGTCCTAAAACCCGGAAATTAGTTAGCATTGTACCACTACTGGTTCCCCCGTCTCAGAGTCAGTCAATGGGATTTCTCAATCTTATCACAATAACAAAAAAAGGATAGCCAGATTTACTGTACTCCCAGCAATATAAACCATGAAAAATATTTAGTCAAAAACACGATCATAAAGAAGAAAAAAAAGGCTATTGCTTTACTTAAATCAGTTTTGTCTACATGTCCAACAGTACTAGGGCATGATAGGGGCAGTGAAAAGCAATGTCACTCAAGCTAGTACTAGCTGTATTTTTCTTTGACCTATTGGTCTTCCACTCAGTTCCTCAACTGCTGTTAATGCTTCCCTATGGGACTCAAACACTGCAGTCGCTGAGCCTTTAGATTTCCCACTCTGGTCATACTGCACTGAAACAGATCCAGGGATAATCCGATATCCGTAGCAAAAGTCATAGATTTCTTCACTTCGTATTTGAAATGGCAAGTTAAGAAGCTTAACACAGGTGGGGCCATCAAAATGCTGCACAGAGGAACCAAAGCTACCACGTACACCATTACCTCTGCCTTGTGAAGCAGAACGGCCTACTGCATAGGGCTCATAATCACTGCCCCCATAGATGGGAGCATGTGCATGAATCATTGGTATGTTACCATCAGGAGGAATTCCTAAGTCAGGGTAGCCTGCGTCACCAGGTCGAAAGGATTCCTCGTTTCTCCTGCCTGAATATCGCTCGTTTCTTGGCTGTAGCTCTTCCACCATTGTCTCTTGAAACATTGGTGGCTCAACACCCAACTGACGCATCTGAGAGCGTGAAATGCATTTCAGGATGACTTCTGACCCAAGAAACCTTTGTCCATTGAGAGAGAGTGCATTCATAGCCTCTGCCTCGGACCGAAAGAGAACCAAAGCCTTCCCAACTCCTGCACCAGTATGGTCACGCAGCACAAACGCCATGTCCTCTGTGATATTAAACCCAAGGAAAAAGTCCATGATCTCAACTTTCCGTACATCAAATGGTAGGTTCCGCACAAAAAGACACATTTTCTCTGAGTCATAGGGATCGCTGGGGAAAGATGGAGGACTGTCCTGAAACGTTGCAGAGTTTCCAGGTGGTCCGCCATCCATGCTCTGAGACTGCAGAAGGCTGATCATTTTTTCTCTTGAGATTGGTCGGGTATGAATAAATCGGTTCCAAAGGGACCTTTTTTCATTAGTCAAGGCATCACAATAGTCATGCAGATTCTTGAACAGCACAAATGCAGATCTTGTTCTTTTTCCATCACTGCCAATTAAGTGTAGGATCTGGTCATCCTCAAGCTTTGCATTGCGAAAAAGCTTTTTTATGTCTTCTTTTTCCACCGAATAGGACAGATTTTCAATCAAAACACAGTACTCCTCATCGGAAGGAGCAACTGGCCTCTGAGCCAAAGGGGACTCTGACCTCACATAATGTGGATTCCTTTGATGGCGAATAGGGGATCTCTCCCTTTCAAAGTTGTCATGCTTGTTGACAGCCATTGACACTTTACCAGTAGCCCGACGCCAATCATCTTCTGTTGTTGAGGAAACTTCGACGTACCTTGACCCAATGTATTGCCTATCTCTCTTCAGAGCTTCGTTTGCATCCTCTCTTGCTGCAAATTTTACGAAACCTTTCCCATTTTTTGAACCATTTGCATTTTTCAATAAGAATATTTCATCAATAAGTAGATCACAGAAGAAATCACGGACTTCTCCTTCAGTCACAGAGAAGGGCATCCCTTTGAGAAACACATGCAAGTCATCATTAGTGTTGGAAGCCCTCTGGTGCTGGGGTGGAGGGTTATAGTCTGATCTGCTAGCTGATCTCCTGCCCCCCTCTGGATCCAAAGGTCTTCGAGTGTGTCTTGCTTTCTCCTCGAGTCGTCTCTTTTGATCTAGCTCTACATCTCTTGTACTTCTTTCAAGTAGGTTCTGCATCTCTGATTTACTACTTAGTAGCAATGCAACAGGTGAACCCTTAATGCAACCTCCTGATCGTATCATGGCTCTTCTTGCATCCTCATCCGAAGCAAAGATAACAAAAGCTTCCTCTTGCTCCCCACCAATGATATGCACTCCTCCATCTGGAATTTTGAGGCCAGTGAAGAACTTGCGAATATCCTCGGAACCTGCAGAGACTCTTAGTCCCTGTAAACGGATGACGACCGCCATGCTGAAGTACAAACAACAGCACCTGTAGACAGAAGGGTATAGAACAGCATTATTGCCAACAGAACTTCTCTAGCTCCGCCTCAATTTCCTGGCATTCGAATATAACACTACTGAACAAAATCACCAATGAGACAAAGGACACCATAGAAAGAGGGACACCAGTATGATTATTGTCCACCACAGTCGCTTGAGAGTGAAAAATCCGATACCAAAATATCTAATGTACGCATTTGATTTATTCAAATTCAAGATTCAAGTAAAGCAGTTACATTTTTGTTCAACTGATAACCACAACTAGTCTAACTGGTTTCTAAATATTCCACTTGTTAAAACAACATAGCTAATAAGGTTGTTGCCCTCAGAATGCTGAAGGCTAATATACTGAAAATGCATCACCTCTCAGAATGCATCAGTAATCAGGAGAATCACCATAGCCATTATGTAAAATCTATTACTTTTCCCCAACATTGACACACTAACACAATTGTATGTCTAAAATCAAGTATTTTCACTTATTCAGCCAGCAAAGTGATCCATAACACCAAGGATGGGGTACAAGTACTTTTCCATTGCATTGGCAATTCAGAATGGAACAGCATTGATGATCCGTCATCAATTATTTTTGAAATGCAGACTTTGAAAAAGCCAGTTCAACCACTGCGAGACAGCAAGGACAATATGAATACTGTCAATGCATAATATCTATAAAGCCTTTGCAATTTGCTTCATCAGAACCGACTACAATCCAACCAAATGTCACTTAACAGCACCAAAAGCCAATAAATACAGAAAGAGACAACTAAACCCATACAACATACTTTTTATATTGATAAGATTGACAGATTTACCACCTAAATGTAGTTTTGTCTTGACATTCTCTTCTCTATTCAGCAAATCCACGGCTTAAACATACTAGTTACAAAGGAAGCACAACTCCGTCAACTGCATGTTTGCAGGAGAGCACTAAATCAGGATGTCTTGTCACTCATAAATGTTGCCCCACTGCATTGTCACCTTTCTCCAACTTTTCTGACAGCGGTCCAAAAAAATCCCATTCATGGCAGAAAAAGAAAAAAAACCTTGTTGTCG